ATTTGGGAGAACACAGAGGGTCGACATTTCCTAACCCCATTCTTCTTTGTGGGAAGGCAGCATCGTTGTTATGCTGGTTGTCTGAAGGAAACACCTTACTGTCGTCACATCTCTGTACAGTCAGCAGTATGACTCCGCCCTTATACCTTGGGTTTACTGCTTTTAGTCTTAGCGCTCTTCAACCGACCTGTCTGGCATGGTAGGACTTTGAGGAACAATTGTTTCAGCCAGTATAGCTCGATTGGTTCATCACGATAGGCAAGTCCGACCACCACGTCAAGGTGGCGGCAACGGTTTAATAGAAAACAAAGGAGTATTCAAATTTGCCCTTCACCAAACCTTAAAAGATTAAAACCTATCTTTAATTGAATTCTACAATCTTCTTCTTCGCAAATCAATTGAATCAGCTATATATCATAAGTATGTTGTATCATATCGTTCTTCATAAGTGCTTCCCTCGAACTTGGTATGTGAAACTAGAGTGTACTTAGTGTGTTTGATCTCTTGATTGTGCTAAATGCTTTGTAAATATGTTCACAATATATATCCCTATAACATTCAATTGAGTAGTAATATCAATTAGATTTTACTGTCTATATGTTAATGATGCCGAATAATGGTCTACTCAAGAGCAGTTACTGTTGTTGATTTGGTTTTACTGTGATAAGTGTTTGATAGTGAACCTTAGATAATAGGTATAGTCAGGTAGATTTGCTTCAGCCGGCTAGTATCCATAATGATACTATCATCTCATGTTGTAAAATACATCTTGTGAAAACACGTATTAGAGGCGCTAAGTCTCTCGAAAACACTCAGTTTCATAAAAAAACTAGCACTTTTTCTAAATTTATGCGGGATGCTTCGAATGAACATAGATGTCACTGAAAGTAGTTTTCTGTGAAAAGTCTAATCTTTCATAGTTCAAATAGCAGAGAACCATTAATCTGAACTATTGCACCAGGACGTAAAGACCATTTTCTGCTCCGAAATGGCCTTTCATGTATCTTTTGGATGAAGTTTAACTTAAATGATAGGTTGCATTATTAAAATCAACTATGAATAACATCGTAAACTATAATGAGAATATATGTAATAGTTACTCTAAAGTGAGTGGTGAGTCGTTCGTACTTCCGGTGTAGTGGTTTTGGAGTAGTTTAACAGCCCCTTAACGAGTTGAGAAAATAGCTAGAACTTACGTGAGAAATGGTGGCTTATTAGTTAAACGATTCGATTTTCAGCTACTAATACGTTCAAACTCTACTCCATCTCAGCTCATGCAACTACATAGTATCACTAATCGTCGTACAAAAATTGTTGTTCAAAAATAAGTACACAAATGTGTGTCTAGTACATGATTAATGTTAAATTACACTTAAGAAGCACTTGTTTTATGTTCGGAAACATTATTTTTAAGATAATATTGTATAGTCAACTAATCTGTTCTTTGTTCTTACCTTCCTGTGCATAATCAAAGGAAATAAAGTTGATTCTAACCCTGTAACTCTGTATTCGGCATTCTCACCAGATCTGTCTTATTGATAATCCTGACAGCTTAGTCACCTGTTCCTTCTTACTGTTTCTAGGAGAAATCATTAGCAATTTACTTAGCTGCTGGTAAACAAAGCGATAATCCCCTCCTTCAGCATACTGCTTACAAGTGAGTAGTTTTTTGTGTTATGGGTGAGGGTATTTATTTCACGAGTTCTAACTTTGTCAAATAAATTATGGTTTTACTTTGTGTTATTTTGACCGTAATAAGTTCGAATACCAAAGTGATCTAGGATATAGATAAATTTAGTTTCTTATCACAATACTTATCAATGGCGATTCGGATTTTCGACTCACTGTCTGACAGTCAACGTTTGAAGTGGTCAACTAAGCATTTGACACTTAACTTCTGAGTCATGGTTTTAAATACTACTTCAGTGATAATATTTTCAGTCAGCTACAATGTAGGACCAGACACATCTGTGCATCAGCCCAAGTTGCCATACCTCGTTAACACAACAAGATGAACACCGAATTCATTGAAGTAGTTAATTAAGTGGTAGTGATATATAAAAGGAGGTTTGTGTATAAGGATGTAACACAGGAAGAAAGAATTAGTTGGTAGAAATAAAGCAATTTTAATCTCATGGTTTAAGGGAAGACAAAGGGTGTATACACCTACTTGATTGTGATCGATTCTTAGCCATGTCACCTAGAGTCTCCAACCATTGGTTATGATAGTGACGCGGACCCCAGCTAAGTAGTCCGCATCTAACAACATGGCTCAGATCAGAAGTTAGCGACTTCAAACACTGATGCCACGTTTTGATTTGACCGCCTGTAACTTTATTCCACCCGTCTCCAACACTCCAGCATTGCGCGTCGTGGTAATCGGTGTTCAGGCATACGTAACACGTGGCTCGACCATCTCAGTGGGTAAAGATTTAAAACCTCACCACCTGATTTACCATCATTCCCTAATACCCTGCGTCTAACCCCACTATTACTTACCCAGTGATCCCAGCAGATGCGAGCAATATTTTAGTGCTTCAGTAGTATTACCAGCTCTCTCACGGTAGGTATGATTCAGTTTGGTAAATAAAAATGTTTGTTGTCATCCGGTCACGTTGAATTTAAAACTGACTACAAATAATCATTATTCTATTAACAGGACTACCAGGTTCCTAGTTTTCTGAATATTATATGGACAAATCATCATAATTGTGTGAATATTAGGTTCAAAGGAAACTTTTTTCTGCTTGCAATATTTTTCATTTTCAGATAACTTTGTAATTATGAGTATACCAGTTATTCTTTGTTTCTACATATGTTCTGTTCGTTTTATATAGCTTTAACTTAACTGGTTAATCCAAATATCTACCTTATTTGATGTTGCAAACGAGTCGATTTTCTTGCTGATAATGTTAGTAAAACTTATTCTAAGTCATTATAGGTGTATTATGATCTGAAACACACGTTGCAAAAGTTCTAGAAATATTCAGATCATCTAACTAGATTTTATTGGGGAGGCTTCGAACTTCTGACTGGCTAACTGATAGTTGAATGTTTTAGCATGTAGCAAAAATATCATTATTTAGTCAGAAAGCGAGACTGCCAATTTTCGTACACACGTCTAATCACGTTACAATAGTTATTATTATTATTATTATTATTATTATTATTATTATTATTATTATTATTATTAGCTTTATTCAATATTATATTTTTGGTACAATATAGAATTCTCAGCGTAAAGTGTTTCAACAAGTTTTCGTTTCTTTCTTCTAGTCGGTCCTGGAGATAAATATTGAGTGATCGCCAGTTAGATGTTAACAGTTCACTAAATGAACATCTGAATAATGTACATTCTTTTCGCTGTATATTGCCAGCAACCACATTGCCTCTTATTGAGTTTTTTGTAACTTTGACAACGAAAGGTTGTACACTTCTCAGAAACGCAGCAGAATAGGTTATGCAATTAATAAACATAATGATATATTAAAACAAACAAAAATAGATAAGTTGTTGAAATATCTAGATGGCAGCAACAGGTAGCCCAGATGCTCAAGCAGGCCGTCCGTGAAACTGGAGTTAACTAGAAGGAAGGCATGATTATGTATCCCTTTACTAGTTTTTACTTATCATCAAATGGTATTTTCAATCTCGGAAAAAAACTGATATCTTTGAAACTGCGTCACGTAAACTTTGGGGCTTAATTATTCAGAGCATGAATGATCAATACGGTGCTCAGCCCCATAATAGCGATGTTTATTGACGAAGTAGTTCGTCGTGTAATTGATAAAATAATCTAGCGATATCTATTTCAGTGGCTTTCTGGAATGAGTTTCATTTCCCTCAAATGATTTTATACAAATTACTTTTTCAAAACCTTTAAATTTGGCTCTCAAAGGGAAGTAAATGGTCAGTTGCGAAATGGATGTTCATTTCGAATTTATACGATCTTCTCAATACATTTGGGGATATTAGATCCTCAAATACAACTTATTAGAAAAAAATCTCAAAGTGTACTTATTGACTTAGGCTGATTTCTGTTCATTCGTATTTCAGTGTAGTCTCATTATATCAATCAATTTAGTGATTTTTTTTGTCCGAGTGACCTTTATTCAGATTTAAAAATCCTGTAACTAATATTCATTTGATGTAATGGGGATATAATTGAATAATCTGAATTGTGGATTAATCTTCTTTAGTCTCCTTTCACTTAGTACCGAAATTTGCGTATTGAACTAGTCACGACTAGAAGAGAAGAGAGCTTTATTATCCTGGTATCAAAGTCCAGTTACCACTGCTATCGACTTGGTTTATTGGATACTTGTATACTTAAAGTCCCCATATTTTTTTCTGTTGAAAGATGGCAAAATCTAAAATACCTGAATTGATAAACAACATTTTTGACAAGTTTACCAGAGAAGAAGTGGAAAACAAGTTTTCATCCCTGGATGTTTACATCGATTTATAAGATTATAACAATGGTAGGAGAAGAGGTCGAGTAATTTTCTCTTGTACAAACAGTCACGCTTTCTATATGTGTATGCAAGGGACTTCAACAATATAAAAAAACTAAATACATTGCGTTTGATGAATTTCTATTCATTTTGTAGTTGATTCCAGTGAATTTAATCTTCTTTTTCAACATTTCAATTTGTGAGCATATTACTTATTAGTCATAAGTAGTAAAACAGGAAATAATAAATATTGTTACAAAAGGTCTGTCAAGACAGATCAATTTGTAGTTTGTATCATGTGGGTCCAATCTTCATGGTCTACACTACTGAACGGTTAGACAAACTTCCAGTGCTTCCTAGTCCAATGGTTATTTAGTTGGAGGCAGTTTGTTACGTTAGCTACAAATAACGTTTTAAACTTGACACGTACATTGTTGAAATAGGCCATTTCGAACGTACAAAATCATTTCCCTTTCATAATCTGCAACTAAATACATTGTGAATCTTCCCACTAAAATGCTACAATTCACTTTTAAATTTAATGCAATGATAGTGTCAAATCCGCTTTATAGTACCAGTTATTATGGTATATTGACTGGTATCTCAAAACAATGTCCTGTAACAACAGTCCTACAAAAACTTTTGTTGGCTATTCAACAAGGTACTCTTCATGCTTCTACAACATTCCGTATGGAGTCATTGTCGTCCACTTCAGAAGAACCTCAAATTAGTGTGAAACTAATGTCAAATACTTCCTATTCCCAAGTAACATACGATCGGTTTACAACGGATTTTAGAGAAGAGGTGTTTATTGAGAGGCTACAACCCTAACCCTAGGCTACAACCCTAGCCCTAACCCCTAACCCTATGGACGAGTTCCAATATTGCATGCATTATGAATTCAGAACTTCTGAACCTTTATCAAACCCTAACAAGTTTTTAAATAATGTAAAAGAAGAATATCTACTGTAATTCATTACTTTCTTAAAATATATTTTTACTTTATACTGTCTTCTGGTTGGCTGATAATTGAAATTGCTCAAACGCTTCTGATTGGCTCGTCCCTAAATTAGAGTCTCGCCGAAACGTCATTTTCACCGGGAACAATGATTCAAATGTTCAACTGGATACTGTTTGTAATCTAACTGCTAAACTGATATTTATAATCCTAGTCGAAAAAATTACACTGACAAAACAGAAGTAGACTGATGCGTCTAGTGTGCATTATAGAGTGAAATCAATTATCTATTTATTACAAGCAGTGATAAAAAAACTCATAAGACAACCATATATAACATTTCCGTTGAAGTATTATTTCTCTCGTTAGCCCTCAATCATCATAAGAGTTTGAATAACTGATAGGGTTATACTCTAAAAAACATTATCCGTTTGTAGTGACTTTGCTTCGTTAATCGATCACCTCGATTACCGTTATAATATACATCTCAATGATGATGAAAATCAAAAGGCAATGAGAAGCGGCAACTACAGTTTATTAGGGGATAGCACGGATCATCAAGCTATAAGCACATCAAGCGAATTTGAAGTGGAGGGGCAAATAAGTGTATACGAGCAAATGCAGAAGCGAATTTATAGTCAAATTGTTGGGGTGATCCAGAAAACCTCTCTCAAAAGACAAGAAGGGATCAGGAAAACAATAAGAAGCATTTTATCCAATCAGCGTGCACTTATAGTTTAGCCAGAAAAATTAAGAAGCTGAAAAGTCACATATAGAGTTTCTGATTGACGGATTACTATACTGCTACTATGTTTAGTAGCATTCCAGAATTTTCGGGAAACCCAAAGACATCTAAAATACTATAAAAACCCTATATTTTCTGTACTAAAACGAACATTTGGAGTAAAGTGTTTCTCACATATTTTGCGCCTTTTCTCTCTTGTCCAAGTCGCTGTGTAATTTTATCTTGGGGGTTACGAGAATAGCTTAGGAACCGAATATAGCGTTCAATTAGCAAGACTTATCACAAATCGAATACGGCATAGCTAGGCAATACAAAGGTTAATAATAGGATTTGAGTAAATATATACATGGGGAGGAGGATAAATCATCAAGTAATATTTAATTAATCAATATTTTAGTTAGAGTCTGTCATGTGATCTAGTGATCATAATAGTACAAAGAAATATGCGAATTATTACTGTTTAAATAACATTGTCCATTAAAGTAAGTTAATAAACGAGGTTAACCATAATCGAAATCGGCTATAGGATAGTTACTGTCCATTCATTCACAAATCCAAATATCTTTTTTCTAATTTATACGTAAAAGATATAAGTATAAGGCTGACGCTTAACTTCAAAAATACTTTAACTGATATAATTTGCTAATTCTAATAGTTGAGATCATGAGTCAATTGAAGCTAGACAACCATGGAAAATCTGTAAGCACTGGACGGCCATTTCATCCTATTGTGGGACTCCTCAGTAGTGTGCATCCACTATCCCATTTTGCGAGATTCGAACCCAGGGCATATCAGTCTCGTGCACGAACGCTTAATCACTAGACAGCTGAGCCGACCAGGATCCAATTGTGTTAATGTCTAACTTCAACTAATCCACCATTGTCTTCAGGGAGTTACTATCTATCTATCTCACAACTGACCCGGTTGAACTGCTTCTCACTAGGACTTTAGGAAATACTTTTTGAAGCTAGTCATTGATGAGCACATGTTGATGAATATCAGAAACGGTCATCTAGTGCTTCCAGGTTTTCCATGGTGGTCCAGCTTCAATTGACTCATGATCTCAACTATTAAAATTACTATAATATCCATAAAACCCCTTATGATAATTTGCTTATATTTACATTATATACTTTATAAAATCTTCATATTAAAATGATAATTAGTTAATGTTAAATATACACTATTCAATCAATTAAGTATTTCATAGATGATTGAAAATGTAGCCATTTTATTGTACAATTAATTCAAATGCTTACGTTACAAAAAGAACAAACAAACGTATGACAACGAGCAAGGCTTATCATTAAAACAAACAAAAAAGAAGAAGAAATATTAACATTTTAAAAAAATATAACTTAATTATAAAATGAACGTAAACGTTTCATAGGTAACATCAACTTCTGTTATATATATATATATATATATATATATATATATATATATATATGTTTGTGTGTATGTATTATCCACGTGTGTGTGTGTGAGAGAGAGTGAGTGAGTGTGTGTCAATTATGTGCTATGCACAAATCAACACTTATTCATATACAAGCATAACTCCATATATATACCATGTAACCAATCTCATAGTTCAGATTTATTAACCAATATTAAAATGACCTCGGTAGTTTTTTTCTCTTTTCTGCACAGACCAAAAATAAAAAATAAAATATGTTTTCATTAAAAAGAATAGCGCATTTACCTTACACGTACATATTCTATTACAAAAATAATTAAATTGTAATGCTGAAGTGTATGGATTACGTGTAATATGTATATGTATACCATAATTGTGATAGGTGGATGGGATCATATTAATCTGTAATAGTAAACCTTCTTTATCTATCCATTGAAATTAATGAAAAAATAAAAAAGAAACAAAGAAAAGAAAACTAATCAAACAATATGGATTTATATACGAATTGCTTTTGTTGCTAAGGTCTAATGTTCAAAGTTTTAACACTGTTTATATCTATATATATATGTAATCAATTTATTTAACTGAAGATAAAGTTACATAATATGGTATAATAGCAAACAATCATGTACTAATCACTTAAATTATAATACTACTCTATATCAAATGTATCATAATCTTATTCAATCTAATGTTGTAATCAACAAGATTATCATTATTATTATTATTATTACTTTCTATTTATTTTTACAAGATCAACATTATTATTGAATTCATTAAATTTTAATCAAAATCATTTTAAAAAAACACAAAAATTTAATATTGAATTATGTCATCATTTAACATTGAATACACTATCCCATCATTTAAATATTAAATTATTATCTATTACAGAGATATATAAATATATACCCAAAATAAGTATTATCATTATTGCATATAATGAAAATTCAATCATTATAAAAAATACATTACAAAGTATATTAGTGAATACATCATTATTATTATCCAATAATAATATAAAAGAGATTATATTAATTGATGATTATAGTAATCCACCTATAGATGATGATCAAATTAGAACATTAAGCAAAATTGTAAGTTATCAATAAATTGATAGATAATCGATTATATAATTGATTTATTTATATTTTGTTATTGATAAATCAATATGTATATATTAGAAGGGGTTTTTGTGGAGATGTTAGTCATTTCAATTTCTTGTGAATGTCTCACAATAGGACGAAATGGTCGTCTAGTTCTTCCAAGTTTTTCATGTTGGTCTAACTTCAATTACACTTATGATCTTGTAGTGTCGGTTATTATTGTTAAGCCCATATACCTTATTGTGGCTTTCGGACAGCCCATTCTACTTGAATCATATTCTGACCTTGTTAATTATTCGCTTATTAATCTTGACTGTTTTTATATGAGCGCGTAGGTGTGTGTACATTTCTTATCCCATGACTCATCACATGACTGTAACTTACTTTTGTGTAACTATAAATATTGATTAACGCTTGGTTAAATGGGAGTTGGCTTACCCGACATTTCCACTGCGCGTCGTTTCCCTTATCTCTATTCCATTCGCTCCATATACAAAATATATGTATTCAAAAATCCATTCTCGTTATTTGACTTATTTAATTCCGCTAATGACGAACGCGATTTAAGTCGATGATTATATACGGGGATAGGTGATAACAAATATTCATACAATCTCCTTGGAATCGGATCTCGGGCCGCTAAGGTGGAGAGGCCGTCAACAAACATCGTCCGATCTAAATGACAACAAAATAACGGGCCTCCACAAAAATCTCAATAATTGAATATATGTATTTCGATAGTGTAATATATAGAAAACGAAGATTATCAGAACTATGTAATGATATATTGGCGCAATACATTTCGAACAATCTGATCTCACATTATATACTTGTTAAGAACATTTATATATATATAAAACGATAAAAGGTTAACTAGACTAGAAATGGATGATAAGAAGAGACACATTATTATTATTACTCTTATTATTATCATCCTTGTCTCTTCTTACTTTCATTTCTAGTCTAGTTGACCATTTATTTTCTATATATATAAATGTTCTTAACAAGTATGTAGTGTATGATCAGATTGTTCGAAGTGTATTGCGCTAATATACCATCACATAGTTCTGATAATCTTCGTCTTCTTATTACATCATGGAAATTCATCAAAGTGACTAATTGTTTTGAATATATATGTATAATGGAGATTGATTTCTCCTAGAGAATTGAACTTTATAACCGCTATAAGTCATCAGTATATTTAATAACTCAAATACTAGTTATCTGTTAATTGTCAAACAATCTAAAATAAAAAAAGTTTATCATAAAGATTTGTAGGAAAATGGTTTGAATTTACAACCTTCGAAAATGTTTAAATGTATATAAAATAGGAACTATTTGAGTTTACTGATAACAGATGTCACTTTTATCACTAATGATTGTTCATTTATTGATTCAAATGTTACATTAGTGGTTTTATTTAAGGAATGCTATAAATCTTTAAGATGTCTACAACATGTATTATGTACACTAAACATATATGTATCTGTCTGTCTACATAGATAACATTATTGTATAAAGGTAATATACATTAAACCAAACGTGGCAATATACAGTCAAATAAAATGATAAAAACAGTATCTACCTCAGTACAATGGAAGATGGTTGTGCAATTTCGTGGATTGGTTGATGTTAGACACTATCACCATTGGATGTCGGCTCAGTGGTCCAGTAGGTTAGGCGTTCGCGCGCGAGACCGAAGGCCCTGAGTTCGAAGCCAGCTGGTGGGATCGTGGATGCGCGCTGCTGAGGAGTCCCACAACAGGACGAAATGGCCTTCCAGTGCTTCCATGTTTTCCGTGGCGGTCTAACATCAATCGGTTCATGATCTCAATAAAAAACTTAATAATCTCCACAACCCCTATACTGGTATAAATCATGTCGGATATAAAGGAAGCAAAAAAATTTTCTTGTTGTTGAAAAAAAACCCTCACCTCTTCGACATTCAATGAATAGTTAGAAATTATTGTACATACGCTGTGCTGATTTATTTTAATATGTATCAGCTAAGATATTTATGTTTTCCAATTTATCCATAATCCATAATGATGTCTTATTAGGAAAATGATAAATGTGCGGAATAATGATCAAACTTGCTAAGACTAACTTACACGAGCTGATGTTGCATACAAGTTAGATGATTTCCCTTAAATGCGTTTTTAATAGTTAAACTTAATGGCTTGAATTAGAGCTAATTGGAATAACTTTAAAAAAAAACACCGATATTTTTGGTTCAAATATGGTTTATCAAGATGCAAAAATTCGGTACTCTAGTTCTCTTGTCCTACATAAGTTGCATTTTTTTGTCTGAGTTACATCAGAATTTTGATCGGTTACTGGTCTTGTTTTCTGCTGGCTTAACTACAGGAATCATACAGATAATTGTGTTTCGTTTTCACTAAAATCATTAACTGCTTTATGCTCAGTTTTTTTATGCATGAAACGTAATCCATTGAACTAGCTTTTCAAATAAGTCTTTATGTTCTGCGATAATCAGTCACTAATTAACAGTCAATGTCATATTGTCTATTTCTTAACCTCTAGCTGACTTATGTCATTTGAGTTTTCATTGTAACCACTAAGCTCAATGATGTGACGTCGTGGGACAAAATGCTAAGCTGATGGTTTCTTGCTAATCCCATTCAACTATCGAATAAAAATTCTAAGTTAAAACACATATCAGTGTGAATAAGAGAGACAGATCAGTTGATTGATTGATTGATAATAACATGATCTAAAATAGCTTACAGTTGCCGACCTAAGCATTACTACAGGTTTTCTTGTAAATCCGATCAGTATTTTTATCGTCACCCTTGTATGATAATATAGTTTATTAGTGGTTTGTAAATCTTTTCTCGACTCACTAATCTGAAGGTTTCACGGAACCTGAGGTTTCAGATCCATACAGAGGTCTGCGATGCTTACGTTTGTGAAGTCGGAGACAATAAAAGAAACAACTTGTACATCTGATATCAGTTTATGAAGAAAAAAACAGTTTCATATTGGACAGATGTCAACTTTTACACCTACTTATTATCAAGTTAGATATATATTTGTAAAGTCTATATTCAACACAGCAATGAACTATAAGGATAAAATGATAGTTAAACTATCTTCAACAGATCATTGTTCATATCTTAGTCCACCGACTGCCATTTAGGTACGTTGCTTACATTTGGTAATGTACATGAAATAAATATAAACAATTACCAGTTAGTAGATAAATGTATATGGTTATTCAAAATCAGTTATTAAGCAATGCTAACACAATGTATTTAATTAAAGTAATTAACTATAAAATAATATACTTTGTTTATTCTATCAAGAATTAGGTTTATAAAAACTGAGAGCAGCTCACACTATCTAGACAACACAAAGTTAACGAAATATACAAGAGGGTTAACCATTGAAATTGGAATCAATTAAAGAAGTTATGCTTACGTGATTGTAATTTATTTTCTCTATTTGATCTACAATTATCTTGTTTAGAACCTTCTAGAATAAACGTTTATTTATTTCTGATTACTCAAAAAATTAATCAGTGATTTTATGTATTAATATAATATCTGATAGGCTATGTTATATTGGGAGTAACAGGCGTAAGCTAAGCTAATGATATTTGATGTTGTAACGGATAAAAAACTAATTAATATTCAGAAGGGGTTTTGTGAAGATTGTAGTATTTTTAATAGTTGAGATCATGAGTCAATCGAAGCTAGACCATCATGGAAAATCTGGAAGCACTGGACGACCGTTTTGACATATTAAATTTACTGAATGTTTAATTCTCTATTTATATTATTATCTACTAAGCAATAAGTCACTCTACATATAATTTCCAATTACATTTATTGTCTTACATTCTCATTAAAATGAATATATTACGAAAATTATAAGTGTTATTGATCAACTGTTCATTCTTTTTCACCGCCACTTACTTGACAACCATCAGTGAGTGCAAACGAAGCAGTTATTTTCAATTGATTATGTTATTGTCCTACTGAATTATTCAACCATTAGTATTTTAAGTTGAGATCACTCTCAATGTTTCGAATCTTTAACAAATATGTTGTGTCTAGTACTTTCGTTTATTTTTCCATTGGTTTAATGGGTAAGTCATTCACACTGGAATATGATCTTTATTTAAAGATATCATTTCAAATGAATGACGTTTTTTTATAACTGTCAATGTACCATATGAAAGATAAAAGATTTTATAAAAGTGTAACCGATAATAGAAATTACCTTTTCCTGTACAGAATTTAATTATTCATCAAATGAACAGGAAAATAATCAAAAATGCTAGACACTATACACTTATTGAACACTGAATGTGTTACGGGGAAGCTCTAACTTTACGTTGTTCATTACATAGATAATTTAATGATAGTGACATGAACGAGAACTCAGGCTAGGACAATCAAATGTACCTGGACGCAAATAATTTATTTGCAAAATGTTCATCAATTGTCTTAAACTTTATTGTTTCTTCATCTTCACATCAATCACACTGTGTTCTTTTTCACTTCGATCTTCTCAACCTTCTGTTACCAGGCATTCCACTTTCAATCGGTGATACATACTACTTATATTTGTCGAAATCAATAGAACGCACCATAATGGTACTATTACATTAAATTATTAAATACTGGTTTACTCACATCTGGCATTTGACAAGATGTATTATTCTTCATAACATAAACAAGCTTTAATTTCTTAATTAAAATAAATGAGTTACTGAAATAGTTGAGATCATGAGTCAATTGATGCTAAACTACAATGGAAAACCTGAAAGCACTGAAAAGCCGTTTCGTCCTATTATGGGACTTCCTAGCAGTGCGCATCCAGTGCTTTCAAGGTTTCTATGGTGATCTAGCTTCAATTAACTCATGATATGAACTATTAAAATTACCATAATATCAGCAAAACCCCTTCTGATAAGTGTTTTAGACGATAACAGCAGGTGGTCAAAAGTTAACATTTACAAATTT